ATCCGAGGATGCTAGTCTACTAGAGTGGCTAGCTAATCCCCATTGCAGACGCTTGCTCAGGCAGTGGAGAACTTGGAGAGGGGAATTAACAGGAGGTAACAGATAACTGACATCCATTAAACATGGCACGTGGAACTAGAACAGTCTACCCCAGTGAGAGAAATAAAGGGTTCAGTTCAACATTCCAACCACCTAAAGAAGGCTGGCGCATACAATGGACGAAACATTTTAATATATATGGTGACAAAGATGAGGACAATAGTCCAAATAATGTAGTGTACATAATACCTCATCTCAGAAATATAGACAGATATATAATTAATAAACAAATAAATCCAAAATTACATCATATGGGGAATAGCCTATTTTGGTAGACGATGAATCAGAGGAATGAATTAGTGTTAAAATGTCAACATAAAAACAAATTCAAATTTCCATAATATAGTTTTACTTTAATTATCTACCCAAAAGCACTCCTCTCTAACTCTTCAAATGTTGACATAAAAACCAAAAACTAATTCTAAATTCCATATTGAAATGCACCCCCTCTAAAACCTTTTTATACAATAATTTATAAATTTTCCCCCATCTCCCTAACTCTCTTTCCATTAATCCTTTACATCCTTTTATCTATGGATTTTAAATTTATTTTGGGATTCATTTTTTTACTTCTCCTTTAATTTTAAATTAAAAATTCATTATTTTCATATAACTCCAAACTGGTGTCGTAAGGTTAATATTTGGCTTTTTTTAATAAAACTTCTTTCGTTTAAGACGGATACCATCCACCCTCCCCTGACCCCTGTCTCTCTTCTGACTAAAACATTTAGTAGATGTTTTTGGCCAGACAGATTTGGGTCGATTTGTTAGCTTTCACAGTTAAATTCTACTTCCTGCTTCATCTAACTTTATAGAGGTGAACTCATTCCATACCGGGGTTGATAAGACAGATGACCGATATCATCATCTGTCAAAATAGGCTATTCCCCATATGAGGTGATTTTTGAATTTTATTGTTTATTAATTATATTGCTCTGTATTAATACATTGAGCTCTTTTTGTGGATCTGTTTTAATATTTTTTATTACAAGGATTATAGAATTATATACCAATGGATTTGTTACCGTTCTATATATATATATATATATATATATATATATATATATTTTGAACAATAAAAAATATTAAAAATTAAAATCTTCAGACACACTGGGTTTGTAGATTAATATTCTTTTGTTTTTTTATTATTATTTCATTTAGATTCCTCAACTAGTTTCGGCCAAAATGGCCGTCATCAGGACATCATCAGACATATATATATATATATATATATATATATATATATATAAAATTGTGTATTTGGGCAGCAATCCCACTTTTATATTTTTATTGAATTTTTCTTGTGTTTTTATAATTTTCTTATTCAGATTTAAGAAAAAGAAAATTTAAAGAAAAGAAAATAAGAAAAATTAAATAAAAATCTTAACTGCCAGTCAGTAGTTTTTAATGAAACTGGTGTGTGTGTATGCATATATATATATATATATATATATATATATATATATGTGTGTGTGTATGAGTAAAATGTGTATGCATATGCAATTCTTATATATATATATATATATATATATTATTTATATATTACATATGGGTAGTACTTATTGGAAAGCACTCAATATCAGTGATACAGCTAACATATTTAGTTGGATTGATGTAAGTTTGTGACCCTGGGTTTCATGCTCTCTGCAATCATCAGACAAACTGATTAATTTTTTGAAATTTTGGATTTATTTATGGTTGCATATTACACAACCATAAATAAATCCAAAATTTCATAAATAAATCTAAAACTTCATAAAATTAATCAGTTTGTCTGACGATCACAGAGAGCGTGAAACCCAGGGTCACAAACTCACATCAATCAATCCAACTAAATATATACATACATATATGTTTATAAATACACATTGCAAAATAAAATTGTTACATCAGAGGACAAAATGCATTGGTTAAAATAAGTTTTCCTTTTGTCTTTATGCATATATATATTAAATATTTTAAGACATTTTTATGTTTATACATTCTTTTTATAGATACAAATATTTAAGTAAATGCTCTATTTATAATAAACAGTATTAAACAACATTTACCAGCCTGAATGTCCGAGAAATTTTCATAGAAAATATTCATCCTCCAACAGGAATCGAACCTCTATCCTATACGGAACCGTCATATAGCCTGACGTGCCTTAACAGATTGGGCCACAGAGAAGCATTCGGTTAGTAAGGTCGATTTTACTACCTTTAAACTACAATCTTCCAGGATTCTCTCACATACATTCATATCTGCTCATGGCATATCCAAATGTAAACAAATGACATCACATATTATGAAATGGACAAAGTCCGACAATTATTTTAAGATATTTTTATGTTTATACATTCTTTTTATATATGTATCTATAAAAAAAATGTATAAACATAAAAATGTCTTTAATTGTCGGATTTTGTCCATTTCTTAATATATGTTGCGTCTAGCATGAAACAGACTGTAAGCCTCTAAATGTTGACCTCTAAGTTCTCTTTTATATTTACACGCTCTATATCTGATATTGAGTACATCTTAAGACTATATTTTTTCCTTATATATATATATATATATATATATATATATATATATATATATATATATAAAGATTGGTTTTCCTTTTGTCTTTATGCATAGTGACTATTACAGGTAATAATGCAAGACTCTTCGGTAAATCGAATTGAGTTCCCTCAGTCACTGTGTGTTTATCTAAAAATAAATATGCTTAAATTCACCTTCATCCCTTCCATACACCAACGGCTTAGTGGTAGAATCCCTGACTGATGCCAATTCGGTCAGGTTTCGACCCTAGCTAGAGGGAACCGGACGTCTAGCCACACTGATGAGCTGTGATGCAGCGAAACAGTTTGTCTGTGGATGACAATATATATGCTCCTGAAAAATTTATTTCAGTTGAGCTCTCTGGGGCGGGAGTGTGGGTTTGTAAACAGTGACTATTACGGCCAATAATGCAAGACTCTTCAGTAAATCAAATCCAGTTCTCTCAGTCACTGTGTGTTTATCTAAAAATAAATACGCTTAAATTCACCTTCATCCCTGTCATGCACCAATTCAGTCAGGTTTCAATTCTAGCTAGAGGCATTGTATTCAATACTGTGTCTTATACACACCTTGTCAAGTGATCGAAATGCAGACAGTAAAATCCAGCTGGTTTCAAAGCAAATAAAGTTAAGTGTAGCTTTCTAAGTTTGTAATTGAGTTTCAGCTTTACTTTTTCTACCTCTGAACTACAGATAGTAAATTGTAGAAAGCCGTGATTGCCCGCATCCTGAAAGAACATGGCATATGAACGAAAAAGAAGGATAGAGTGGGTATGGTAGGTTTTACAAGTCAGTGATATACAAGTGCAGAATGCTTAAGAACACATTGTCCGAAAACAAAGGTACCAAAATCTGAAATAAGTGGACACTACTTCACCTTGGGACTTTGAACAACAGTGTTACCACTCTTGGCTTTGCCAAAAAATGCTCATTTGGTGGTGCAGTTTAAATTCTATAAAAGGACATATATTTCTTTTCTCTTCCTCCAAGATGTAGTACCCCCCCCTCTAATACTGAGTTACATTTATTTACCCCAGTCAAGTAACTGAACTCGCATATGTGTATCTCACACACACACACACACATTTCTTATTAGATAGTAGAGACCCATGATCACCCACATCCTGAAAGGACGTAGCATAAAGACGAAGAAGGGATATACAGTGTGTGTGTGTGTGTGGTAGATTTTACAAGCTAGCTAGTGGTATACAAATTTGGAATACTGAAGAGCACATTGTCCAAAGACAAAGAAATACACTTCAGCATTGAACTTTTAACAACAGTGTGGAATGCCTCACTTGGATTCGCCAAACACCCATTAGGTGGTCCATCCTGGGTATGACAATAAACTACACCCGCATCCTGGGTAAGACGATAAACTACATCAAGCAGCAAGGCATCTGATCAGGAGGTTTTGAGGAGCGTGGAACAACCTCTTAATTGCTGGTGATCCCAGGTCCACACTGACCCAAGGTGGCAGCACCTGTTAGGGTCCCAGCTATAGGCAAATAGTTAACACCCAAACTTGTGTAAAAATAGGTTTTAATACCAGAAATACTTTGTAATAAAAAAATTATTACCAGCAATAATTTTTTAATGAAAAATTATTATCAGCAATACTTTTTTAAAAAAATACCAGCAATACAAACAGTTATACATTATTTGAAAAAAAATATGACCAGCTATAGATTTCTTCAAGGAAAAATATTCCCAGAAATAGATTTTTGATGAAAAACATTACCAGCAATAAAAATTGTGTCGGCATTAAATAACCCATTGACATTGATATGCTGTAAAACAAAACAAACCAGATAGATAGATAAAAAATATTACCAGCAATAAAAAGTTTGTTGGCATTAAATAACCCATTGAGGTTGGTATGCCGTAAAACAAAACAAACCAGACCATTAGGTGGTGTTCAGTTTGATAAAAAGACAAACAAGTCCTTCTTTTTACTCCAACATGTAGCAGGATATAAATGAGAACATCCCTGCTGAGTCATATTCGTTTCCCCAGCCAACTGAACTCGCACTTGTATATCTCACAAACATTCTTAATAGCTAAGTTTTTAATGCCTTTTCCTTTCCTTTCAACTGTGTGCACATTAATGTAAGTTCTTTTTTAATGCATGTATTAATTGTTTAAAATCTATGATTTGTTTTCTTATTTTTACCTGGACCCAAAGGAATCCCCCAAATATTGTTTTCGGGATAAATATACCAGGAACCACTAGATATTTACTGAAAACTATCCAACAAAACTAAAAGTAATGACTCCCACAACAGCTAAAAATCCAATATCAACAGTTGAGCATTGCTTTGCTATTAAGAGTAAGAGAGAAAAATGTCTTACCTCTAATTCCATAAAATTTCCTAATCCTTCTACTTCGTCCAGGTGAACTCTTGTCTGACCAACCATATATAATTCGCGTTTCTTCTTCACAATTCCTTTCACGCCTAAAGCACGCGTCAATACGGCCTGGAAAAAGAGTTTTTAGCCTTTAATAAGGGAGATAAATACATCGGCCTTATCTCCCTTGGAAAATTTAGTTTTTTCTAAGGTGGCCTTTAAAAATAATGATTATAGGAATACTCTTTAAATTATAGATAAAAATTCATCAGACCTTAATTTTAAAAAAAATATAGATTATCTCCAAAATAATTTTTTTGATTTTTTATTTTTATTTAATACATAATTATTTTTCAGTTCCTAGGTGGATCAAAGTACAAAGTTTGACCAACACCAAATAAAGATTTAATTAATATTTTTTGATATTTTCAAAATCGCCACAAGTAGTTTGTTCTAAGCAAAACCACTAAGATAAAAAGTAAAACAGAATGATTATAGGCTTTTTTGAAATTATAGAATACTCTTTAAATTATAATTTATAAAAAAAAAAAAAAAAAAAAAAGATATTGGTTGCCAAAATTCATCTGAGATCCTTTCATTCCATTCTCTACGACTTTAAAAAAAATATATTTTGGTAAAAAACAATAAAAAAAATGAGCTCTGGTAAAAAACATGTAATGATAACAGCAAAAATTGCAATATGAGCACTGGTAAAAAAAAATGATTCTTGAAGACATTAGGTTTACAATGCTCAGAAATTCATACACAGATGTCCTCAAGGACACAGTGAATAAAAGCGTTAGTTAGATCCAGTGACAGGACCCAAAGAGCATGAGTTCAATACCTGGTTAAGGCAGTGGAGAACTTGGAGAGGGGAATTAACAGGAGATAAATGATAACTAACATGGAACTAGAACAGTCTACCCCAGTGAGTGAAATAAAGGGTTCAGTTCGACATTCCAACCACCTGAAGAAGGCCGGAGCATACAACGGCCGAAACAACCTAAAACATAATCAGCATACGTCTGCAACACATGTTCAAAAGACAAGATAGGAGGGTGAACCAGGTGAAAAGTGAACATATCTACTAGTATTGAGGTGAAAAAAAAAATATTTTTAAAATGACTGATAAATAAAATTGACAGCTAGAATTTTTACCAGAAATTGAATAATGTGGCATTTTTAGAATTCAAAGCCAGATGAAAAGTTATCATTTTGATTACTGTCAATAATAAAAAAAAAAAAAAAAAAAAATTTAGAACCTTACCTTCATGTGAGCTTCTCACTAACCATGAAGGCACATTTACAGTATTAGTACAAATTATATGACTAGTACTTTTTTTTTTTTTTTTTTTTTAATTGAAATGAGGCAAGGTTTAATTACAAGGACATTTTTTTGGTAAAGAAAAATTTTAGTACATTTCATAAGCATTTATTGAAAATTGTTTTTGTTTTTCAGGGAGCAACATCTACACATACAGTCAATTCATCATGACTGCAAAGAAATCTACTGGTATCAATGAAGACTGGTACATATGGTAATAGGCACCTCCTCCTCTGAAATATGATACTTGAAGTCCCATACCATACATGCAGAAAAAGAAAATTCCAATACCAGCATATCAACAAAAACACACACAAAGCAAGCAACAATATACGAGTCAAAGCAAATATTTCTGTAAAATCTGGTTTTTCTACAAAACAACCAGCTAAATATTGTGAAATTTCATAAATTTCTTTTTGTTTTTTCTCCGAGTGAATTTTTCAGGGATATTTTTTATAGAAATCACGTTTGTTCACTTCCAGGAGTCCTAGTTTCCAAGCTAAGCTCTATGCAATCATTGATTTCTGGTAAACCTCAGTTTTTTTCATGGGTTTCATGTTTCTCTCATAAATGATACTGCTGTATTAGACGCAGAGTATTTTTATTTATTTATTTTATTTTATTTTTTTTTTTGAAACAATCCTCGTCCAATAGACCAGCAAATACGGTAATTCATGTTCAGTAATTACAATCTCATGGAGCTATCCATAAGATAAGCAATGCTGAAATTGCGCCATACTGAGTAGCCTCCCTTGGAGCACACACAAAACAGTCATTTGTCAATTACAGATGATATTGTCAGGTAAGGATATGAAAAATGTTTTTTTTAATGTATGCGTATGTGTCAAGGACAAAAATTTCTGTTCAGTCTCCATAAACACTACCACGATACCATCGATATTACACCAACCCTGCCTCTCTTAATATGGGGCGGAAAGTGCTGCCATTGGGTTGGTATAGCCAGGAGTGAGCACCTCTTCCCATCTAAAATGAGCAGAAACTTTTACTCGACTTCCAATCAAAAGTTAATTACAGAAGGTAGAGAAGGAAAGCAAGAAGAAAGGACTAAACATCAATTGCAAGAAGACAGAATGCATAATTGTCAATAAAAGGCACAACCCAACATTCAACTTAGAAATTATGGCTCTCCACAATTTCCTGTCCTTTGTAGCTCTTAAGAAATTTTCTTTTTTTTTTTTTTTATCTCTCCTAAACCCTGTTCTGCCATTCATTTACTCAGCCTAGTTCTTCATCTTTTATGTGCCGTGTCCATTCAGGATGTTGACGATCATGGCTCTCCACAATTTCCTCCCCTTTTCTAGCACTTAATAAATTTGGTCTTTTTGCTATCTTTCCTAAACCCTGTTCTGCCATTCATTTACTCCGCCTATTTCTTCATCTTTTATGTGCTGTGTCCCTTCAGGACGTTGATGATCATGGTCCTCCACAATTTCCTGTCATTTGTAACGCTTCATAAATTTTGTCTTTTTGTTATCTCTCCTAAACCCTGTTCTGCCATTCATTTACTCAGCCTAGTTCTTCATCTTTTATGTGCCGTGTCCATTCAGGATGTTGACGATCATGGCTCTCCACAATTTCCTCCCCTTTCTAGCACTTAATAAATTTGGTTTTTTTGCTATCTCTCTTAACCCCTGTTCTGTTTCAGGAAGGCAGAAGATGGCGATAATGTATATGTCCAATATGGAGTCTGGCAAGAACCACCTCCCCTCTTCTTATCATTTGGCAGCCGGAGAACCATTCACTAATGATTGGCTCCCAAGCAAAAGAAGCTGAATATGATTGGTGAGACCTTGGTAAAGCCATGTGCCCTGGAAATGGTCAAATTGGTTTGTGGCTTGGAGCAATGCCTTTTATCAAATGATGTCATCCTCTCCAGAATGGGACAATAGACTAGTGTATTAAAGCGTTAGTTCATGAATTTAGTGACATCCAATCCCTGGGTTTTCTACTGAGTCCAAGTGTGCAAAAGTACTAATAATAAAAAATAAATAGTATCGATACATTTTGTGAGAAGGCAGCTCAATTTGAGAAAACTGGAACTTTACCAAAACTTGGATTTTCCCAAAAAAGGCCTTGCCATCTAACATCCTTCAAGTTTTCTCATTTCATTGCCAAGCAAAAGAAGCTGCACATATTTGGAGAGACCTTGTTAAATCCATCTTTCCTGGAAGTGGTCAAGTTGGTTTGTGGTTTGAAGCAGTGCCTTTGTCAAATAGCTATGGAATCTTTTGCAAAAAAAAAAAAAAAAAAAAAAACATCTCAATATAAGGGAACGGACCAGAAATTGGTAGAAATGCAAAATGGCATTAAATGTTTGTTATATGCATTTCAACACGTTGCTGCTACACTTGTAATAAATTTTGTTGAGTGTTGATTGGTTGCTTTTTTGATAAATTCAACCACAACTTTGATCTGAAGAATGCCACACTTGTTAAAAGAGAAAGTAACTTTCTTAGAAGGAAAATACTCAAGGGCACTGCTGTTGAATCTTATCAAAATATGAATCTGTAATCGGGATTCCTTCAAATATCTCCCTTCCTGAAAGAATTACTCCATTCCCAAGCTAACATACATGACTACAAAAATGTTAATAAATTAAAAGGAAACAGTTAAATTCATAAACTCATCTAAGTTAAAATATGTAAAACATAAATTAATCCCAAATTAAGATAATTTAAATACTAATTTGCATAAAAAAAAACAAAATTTCAAGAAAATCTCTTATATAATTTAATTTATTACATGTGTCACTTGGTGTTCTCCATAGCTTGCCTAGACTTTTCAGCTAACCTTATGAATATTTAGGAGTGTTCTTAGATTTTAAAATTTTGACAAACCAATAACAATTTTGCTCTTGTATATAATTTTTTTTTTTTTTTATATATGCCTTTTGATTTTTGGGGGAACATAGAGCTGCAACAATACCTCTCCAACAGACAATTCCGGGCAATCCTCCTCTTCAGCTTGGCCCATGTCATACCAGCTGCCTTCACCTCTGTGTCAACACTTATATGCCAAGTCTGTTTTGGTTGACTCACTTTTCATTTTCCTCGTGGATTCCAATCAAGGGCCTGCCTGGTGACACTAGAGGCAGGATTGTGCAGTGTGTGGCCGATCTATCCCCATTTCTGTTTTTTGATGTCAGCCTTGATTGGGGCTTGTCTGGTCCTGAATTATTTTTATATTTACAAAAAAAATCTTTATTTTTAAAAAGCTAGAGACACCAAGCACATGACTTCCATGCCTAAGTATCGTCAACACTTCTATGCCAAGTCTGTTTTCGTTGGCCCACTTTTCGCTTTCCTTGTAAACTCCAATCAAGGGCCTGCCTGGTGACTCTGGAAGCAGGTTTGTGGAGTGTGTGGCTGATCCATCCCCATTTCCATTTCTTGATGTCAATCTTCCATGCCTAAGTATCATCAACACTTCTGCGCCAAGTCTGTTTTGGTCGACTCACTTTTCACTTTCCTCGTAGATTCCAAACAAGGGCCTACCTGGTGACACTAGAAGCAGGGTTGCGAAGTGTGTGGCCGATCCTCATTTCCCTTTCTTGATGTCAGTTTCAATTGGGGCTTGCCTGGTCCTGTCCCACAGTTGACCATTGGTGACAACTTTAGGCCACCTGATATTGAGGATGTTCCTGAGACATCAGTTGGTAAATGTCTGAAGTTTGTGGGTGTTGGTCTTGGTTACCCACCAGGTTTCCAAGCTGTAAAGTAGGACCGACTTGATATTGAAGATCCAGATCTTGTTTTAAAGTAAAAATGTTTTACAAAATAAAATCCTTGCATTTACCCTCATAAAGCCCTTCTGATGATGAAACGTGTCAGCTAAGTTTTCCTTTTGTCTTTATTCATAATGTCCTTTTACAGATACACACTATCTGTAATTTTAGACGTATAAGATTGTATTAAAAGAACTAACACAGCAAATCTTATCAACTCTACTTTCCTTTTTCAACTCTTCAGGGTCTGGTGCTAGAATCAATCAATGGATCTTAGCATTGAAAATTACATTAAAGCATGAAACTGACAGTCCCTATGCAGTGGCGATTCCTATGTCCACACTGTCTATATCTATACAAATGTATTATAATAGTTTGTTTTTTTTTTTTTTTTTGAATACACTATTCAAAATAGTTTTCCAAAATGGATAGAAGAAAATTCAAAGAATTTATCAAAACTAAGAAAAAGAACAACTTCGTGCAACTGGAGGCCAGAAGGAACATGAAAATACTTACACATAAAGAATCCGGATCAGCAACATTTGCAATATCATAATCCGATGGCTTAGCCCCTTCAGTATCCACTCTTTCATATGCAATCAATTCTGATTTGACATCCTAAAAATGATAAATTATATAAAATAAAAATAAAACAGGATTATTCCATATGCTTAAAGTGTAGTATTTGAACTATTTGAGTGATATGTAATGGATTTGAAATTTCTCTTTTTCAGGAAATTTACTTTGGATAATAATTGCTTATGCTTATTTCACCCTAATGGCTTGTATTGATGCAAAAGATGATGGAAATAAGAGGAAAAGAACAATTTTAGAGTTATCACAAAAAGTGGGTATTTTAAGCAGACTAGAAGTTGGTGAAATTCCATTGTAACTAATATCCGAGTTCAACTTAGGAAAGTCAATATTGTATGATATAAAATCTTCCAAAGAAACTATTCCTCCAGCATTCACATTGTTACAATGAACAAGGAAATAAAAACATGATTGTGATGAAACCTGGACTGAAACTGAAAAAGCTATTAAAAAGGTTGTCAGTTTTATGGAAAGAAAGCCAGCATTCAGCTATGACGATTTGCAATAACACACGCAGACTTAAACATTGTCTTTCGTTCAAAAAAGTTCAAGAACAAAAGCAAAATGAAATGTAGAAAAGTTGAGAATGACATTAGAAGAGAAAGAATCATCATGCAACAGTGATTAAAAAAACCCTCGTTACATTACTTGTTTTGCATACGTGGCTTAATTAATTTAATGAATTTTCATTAACATTACATAATTTATTTCTTTGTCTTTAAAATCAATTCCGTTATATTTCATTCAGCATAAGCTTATTTTGTTTACTATAAAACATTGCAAATAAATGTTGAACCTGATTTCAGTTCTTTTATTTTAATTTAAATATAACCCCTCATATCCGGACTTTGTATAAAGTTTGTCATATTCGGAAGGCTTTCTTAGTCCTGGTATTGAACTCTAGTTGCAGGATCTAACCAACTTCTTTATCCACTAGGCCATGTGACCTTCAGTGGATAAAGACATTGGTTAGATCCAGTGACCCAAAGAGTTGTGACTTCAGTATCCAGAATCCCTAATATCCGGAAATCCTTCATATGCTATAAAACATTGAAAATAAATGTTAAACCTGATTTCAATTCTTTTATTTTAATCTAAATATAATCCCTCATATCTGGACTTTGTAAACAATTCCTCATATCTGGAAGGCCTTCTTAGTCTGGTTGTCAGGGATTCTACTGTATCTAAAACTGTTGTTAGATCTGACGGATTGCATCAACGATCAAGCAAAGTTGAATAGTGCCTGATAAATAAGTTTCTATCCGAAATAAAAAAAAAATACAATTTATAACAAAATGAATAAAAAGCACAACAGGAAAAACTATTCGAAGTCAACACATTTCATCCTCTGGAGACATTATCAAAGCATATGTAGGATTTAATTTCTTGCATATGTTTATATACAAGGGCAACTATGTTATTTGACAGAACTTTCAAACACCTAATGAATATTCATGAACATTCTCAAATATAAAAGCCTTGATAAGCTAATGACACCCTTGATTTCGTATATAAACACGCATGACTTCCCTTGTGGATTCAAGTCAAGGGCCTGCCTACCGGGTGACACTAGAAGCAGGCCTGTAGAGTGTGTGCCCAATACATCCCCATTTCTGTTTCTTGATGTCAATCTCGATCGGGGCTTGCCTGGTCTTGTCCCACAGTTGGTCATTGGAGATGACTTCCCTTATGAATTCCAGTCAAGGGCCTGCCTGGTGACACTAGAAGCAGGCATGCGGAGTGTGTGGCCAATCCCTCCCCATTTCTGTTTCTTGATGTCAATCTCAATTGGGGCTTGTCTGGAACATCCTCAATATCAGGTGACCAGAAGTCGTCTCCAAAGACTCAATCTAGATTGGCATCAAGAAAGATTGAATCTAATAATTAAATAGTGTTGTCAATTCTCAAGAACAAAGAAAATGTATAAATTCACTTTCCTCTTATGTTTGGGTTTTATTACAAATCCAATCATTGCTTTTTTTAAAACAAACATTGCCAAAGAGTGAAGGTAGTTAAAATAAAAGCAGTGTGATGGTAAAAATAGTTATTTTGACAAGAATGATAAAATATGATTGTTTTATATCAAAAGTTATGAATGATTTGCACAAGGAAGAGAAATTGTTCAACTGTGAATAGTAGCTTCTTTGGTTTCTGAAAAACAAAAATTGTCACAAAGAACTGTAAGACATTCCTATTCCCATTTAATTTTACATACCTTAGTTTTGCGCAGTTTTAGTCGACCTTGGGATACGTGAAAGAAAATATCTTCCTGCCACAATATAGTTGGTTCTGAACCACTTTCAACTTTGGCTCTCTCTCTCAACAACTGGGCATCTGAGACCCTGGCTTTGATTTCCATGTTAGATGGCATATTTGTGCTTAAAAAAATAAAGAATAAAAATAAATTAAATAGACTGAAATGAAAAAGAAAAAGAAAAAAAAAAACACCAGATAACACCTCATCCCCCTCCAAAAAAATAAACAACCAAGTCAAGCAGTATTTACATTATTCAAACTATTGTCCCCATCTTTGTCGGCATATTTATTACAATGTTTTGGCCCTTCAGTATCTGTCTATATTTCTGAGATGAGGCATTATGTACACTATTTACATTATTTAGACTATTGTCCTCATCTTTGTCGCCATATTTATTACAATGTTTCGTCCCTTCGCTATCTGTCTATAGTCCTCATCTTTGTTGCCATATTTATCACAACATTTCGGCCGTTGTACACTCTTTTTGAAAGACCAATAAAACTCTTTATAAGACCAAAGATAAACTGAAGGCAAGGATTATGGCAACATTCACCAACTTAAACAAAGAGACCGTCCAGAAGAGATGCAGGAGATTCTGAAGTCGTCTGGAGGCAGTTGCTGAAGCCAATTTATTGAATAAATTTACTCTTTAGTATTTCAAGATATTTTTGTGTGATTTTGGTAAATATATCTGTTAAAATGAGATATCAGTATTATTTTCATTTTTTCGTAGTTTAGATGCCAATTTATCCATCATACTTGTATATCATATATTAATTATTTCCAAGCTCCTAAGAAAATTAAATTTCAGCATTAAATGACCCATAAGAAGTTGATATGCCATTAAACAAACATTTGTTAATAGGAGAGGAATTAATGTGAGTGGGCAGAATTTTTCTCAATATACAATAAAATGAGGTTATAAGAAAGAAAAGCCATTTAAATGAAAACATAAAATCCATCACAATTATATACGCATACAATATTAAAATGTGGCCAAGCTCTTTTTTCTGTCCAATAACAGACAGTATTACAAACATGTCAAACAGATACCACAATACAACATTTAAATAAAATCAAAAAAAATCAAACCATTTAAAACCCACAGATTTTAACTTTCAGTAGCAGAAATGCAATTGTCCCTGAGCCATTCAAGCATAAGAGAAGGTGTGGCTGCATAGCTTTTTTCTTTGCCCTAGCATGTGCTGAAAGAAACACGTGATGGTGACTTCAAATGAATCATCAACAACAGCAAGGTCAGTCAGTGAATCTTCACTGACACTGAAAGTCTTTTTTCAACCTCAGATTTTCCTGTGAACCAACAAACCATGGATTTAAACTCAACTAAAGACTGTTCTTACTCTTTTTAGACTCTTTTGAATTCATGTACATATGTTAGTAAATACAAATGATTTATTTAACAGGCATGAGACCATATTTTCTTTCTTTTTATTATTGTTTGGAATTCAGACATTTGGATGTTTAATATAAAAAAAAATAAACAACCAAATTTCTTACATGTTCACAATTGATACTGCAAAAAATATTTAAACTAAAATAACATCTTGTTTTTTTATATATAACTATGAAAAGATTTCATCAACACAAATTAAGAAGTACACACAAGATATACAAAAAGTGTGGGAGTGAAACAGCCCTCCGTCCACCACCAAAATAAATTTCTATCAAGATCTTTTTAATGGAATGACCTTTTCAGCACACAATTTATTCATTAATGAATCAGTATTGAAAATTTTATTTGAATTGGATAATTCCCTGATTTTTGACATTTTTTTTTTTTTTTTAAACAAGAATAGTAATTTTTTTTTTCTGTAACAGCAACAACAAAGATGGTCAGTGAATCTTCACTCACAAGAAAAGTCATCCTTAAGTGCAGCTTTTTTTTTCTGTGAACCAAAGACTAAAAGTCTTTTCTAAACTTCAGATTTTTCTGTGGGCCAACTACCAAAATATTTTAAGTCAATTAAAGACTACTCCTTTTACATCATTTTGACCTTTGAATGAATGCACTGTAAATACAAATGATTTATTTAACAGACATGAGACCATGTTTACTTTATTTCTATTTTATTGTTTGGAATTCAGACATTTGGATTTTTAATATAAAAAAACAGGATGATAAAATTCAGGGTTTCTTAATAAGGGAGGAGGTATCTTAATAAAAGGGGATTGGAAAATAATTTAATGGGTCAAAAAGTAAGAAATTAATAAACTACATACATAGCTGTGTTTTTTTTTGTTTTGTTGAGACTGGACTGGGATTATCTTACACGAAGAATTTGTCATGATGATTTGAGTCAAGATTTTACAAGGATGGATACTCTTTCCTGGCACTCAACTCGTGATAGTCAAAGTACACAAAGTCTTTTTTTCAAGACACCATCTCTAGGAAGGTTGCTCCATTCATGGCTTGAAAAATAGTGTACATAATACCTCATCTCAGAAATATAGACAGATACTGAAAATTTTATAGATATAGATTGATATGTAGAGATAGATATTTCTTTTATGTATATAAGAGTGCTTCATCTTAAATATTTTTAAAAGAGCTCTTCACTAAATATTAAAAAAGATAACACTTTGATTATCTACTGACAATCTGTTTCATGCAGTATGATTTTTAAAAATGGGCATTCATTTCTCCCAGCCTTTACTATTCTTTTTTTACATTTTTCAAACGAACTTATAAAGAAATATATTCTTAAGGTGTGCTATATTTATGGGATAAAGTGCTCAATATTAGAGATAGAGCGTGTGTAAATATAAAAGTGAACATAGAAGTCAACACTTAGAGGCGACAGGCTGTTTCATGCTATATGCAATCGTTGTGGCCTGACGATTGCATATAGCATGAAACAGCCTGTCGCCTCTGTTGACTTTCTATGTTCACTTATTTATATATATATATATATATATATATAAAAAAAGGCAAGAGGAAAAACTATCCTTGCAGATGTGTTTCATCCTCTGAGGAACTTTATCAAGGCAAAAGTAAGGATTTATTTTGTTGCATATGTTTATATACAAAAGCAAGGATGACATTGGTTTATCAAGGCTTTTAAATTTGAGAACATTCATAAATATTCGTCAGGTCAATCAAAATATATGGAAGACACAAAGTGCCATAATTCAAAGTCTGATAAGATAAAAGTAAGTGGGTAATATTCAAGAAATATGTAAATATTTTTTTTTAAATAAATGAACATTGTTTGAATTGTAATCAGATTGTTGTGTTTTGGGATGGATGTGAATCTTTAAAAAAAAACGTGGTTATGGATTTAATCATCTTTTTTCGTTTATTAACATTTTTGTGGTTGTATATGTTGACTTTGAAAAGTAGTAATTCTGAGATTATATATTATTTATTTAAAAAAATTTTATAACATAAATATGTTATAAAATCACTACAAAAATAACCATTTTGTTTCAACACCCTCGGTGTCTTATCAAGTGATGATGTTGAATGTAAAATAAATGGTTTTAAAAGTTTCAAATTAATTAACGATCCTTCGCAAGGGGAAAACATTACAAAAGCTAGATTGACCAATCAAAATACAAGTATAGGAAAATTCAAAAAGCTTGACAACGAAGTCATGTTATAATAGCTATTCAAATATTTAAAATATGGGTAGTATTAAAAAAGAATTTATTCTAACCAATAATTACTAAATTATATGATAAAATTTAATATTAAAATTAAAAACTGCTAATATATATATATATATATATATATATATATATATATATAAAAGTGAACATAAAGTCAACACTTAGCGGCGACAGTCTGTTTCATGCTATATGCAATCGTCAGGCCACAATTGCTGTTTTTCTTTTCTCGGCTATTTATATATAAATGGGTCAGTGGTGCATTGTGGGTAGTCTATTTTGGCGGTTATTTTACCGGAAGTCATTTATTTGTTTATTCATTTATTTGGGTTAAATTATTTTGCTTGTTTTTATTTATTTTTATTTTTTATTTCTTATATATATTTATTTATTTTTTTAATTGGTGTTTTTATTAAAAGTAGTAAAAATTTGTTTATATCACTTATTTAATAGTTTTGTTTTGGTTTGAGAACTTAATGAAAGCTATTTGTTCAATTTTGGTGTTGATTGTTGTAGTTTATTCTAACTATTATTTTGGTGGGAACAGTTTTTAATTTGTATTTATTTGGATTGATTATCTTTATTTGTTTTTTCTAACACTAAGTTTATCATCGGGATTGGTTTATTTATTTATTTATTTATTTGGATGAATTTAGGTCAATTTATTTTACTTGTTATTTATTTGTATATTTTCTCTTTTCGGTTTTTAAGTAACATAGTATTTTTTTTTATCATTATATAACAGTTATAAATATTTTTTTCACCCGATTTTTTGGTTTGATTTTTATAGTCTAACTAATATTTTGGTCATAATGGTTTGGTTATTTGTTTTTTTATTTACTTTATTTGGGTTCCTTGGTTTATTTATTTTTTATTATTATTATTCTATTTTGTCTATTCTAACAGGTGTGATTTGGTAATTTGTTTGGGTTAATTTATTTTGCTTATTTTATTGTTATTTTGTTTATTTGTTTATTTTTATTTTTCCGTTTTCGATTTTTAAGTAACATAGCTATAGCTATAACTGTTATATAACAATAAAAAAAAAAAATACTAAAGATGAGGACAACAGTCTGAACAATGTAAACACTGTAAATAATCTTTTATTTGATTTTTGTAAATAATTTATAGCATTGTAAATAAACATTGGGGTTAAGATTTTGTTTAATTCATTATCGTTCTCAAGCCCACAAAATTTGAACGTAAGGGAACTAGTCAGGACTTCATAGATTGATTGATTTCAGAATACAGATACTATACTGATCCTCGACAGATCACACATATTTCATAGAATACACATACTGTACTGATCTTAGACAGATTACACACATTTCATAGAATACAGATACTATATTGATCCTAGACAGATCACAAACATAACTTTTCATAGAATACACAGATACTATACTGATCCTAGGCAGAGTGCACAGATACTTAGTTTTTAGTAAGAAGTGCCAATCAATATGTAAATCATT